CCAATGGGTATTTCAACTATAGAAAAAAATAAAAAGGCAATCTCTATCTTTGTAACCAAGTTTGCAGAGCCTCCAATAAGATGGGGTTAATTTTCATAGCATTAACTTGACTGCATATGTGTAAAAATAATAGTATTAAAACCTCCCAGCTAGTCAAATGCATCCAGTAGATAAGCCATATAGAAGTAAGCTAATTTAATTTTATAGTCTTTTTTTTGGCCAACTTGCCATGTCATAGTGCCAAGCAATACAGGAAAATCCATCTTTAGAAAGCACATCATAATAGTCAATTGCTAAAGACGGGTCAGAATCCATTGGTTTTAAACCTATTACTTAACTGCCAAAACCATAATTTTGAAAAAAATTAAAATAGACCCACCAAAATGAAAGGTTATATGTAAAATACTCTAAAGGTTACCCTTTAAAGGAGGGCCAGGAAATTTTGATGGAGAATAAAAAAAATATACTGGGCTTACTATTTAAAAGTCTGTATTTTATATCTGATTTGATATTTAGGTGTCTCATTTTATTGCAGTAATTTTCTTTTTTACAACTGAAATAAAGTTGATAACTGCATTAACTTTCTATTAAATTATATCTGACCTTATTTTACATGGAAATAGATTGTATTGTTTTAATACGCTCCTGCTTTTAAAATGAGATTTCTAAGTTTAAGCCAAAACAAACCTACTTGATATAAACATTAACTGTGCTCACTGCCCACTGTGCAAGGGTCTCCCAAATCAAGCTTTGAGTCACAGTAAAAGCAGTGAGTTTTCTTCCTGTTCCAGAGGTCCCTCCACAGTTAAACTTCCTTCACGTTGGAGGAGTGACACAGGTGGAGTGAAGAACAGGGCATTCGCTTGTATTGTTATAAACAGAAATATACAAAATAAATAAACACCAATTTATTCAGAAAACCAAAAGCCTGGACTTTGGACCTGGACAGACTTCACAGTCTATTTTCTCATTAGAGAACCACATGGCTGTGGACTGTGAAGATAATATCATTCATCTCCTATTATTTTGTAAATGTGAAACTGAAGACGAGGAACTCGAAGTGACTTCTCAAGGTCACAAATCTTGTTAGTAGCAGAGCTAGGGCTAGGATTCCTTCCAGTTCTCCTAATTTTCAGACATATATTCTTTACTTTTGCCACCTTAAATAAAACAGAAATTGAATGAAATATAATATAGTATAATGGATATATATTACTCATTTATGCTATGTCCATTTGGCTAATTAAGATTCATGCTATGTGTTCTTCCTACTGTGACATATGCTTAAATCTAAGGGAGTCAAAAGAATAGTTGGCTGGCTTTATACTTAGGTAACCTGAATTTCCAAATACCATTTATTTACTGAACCTCTCAGGGCCTCGTTGATAACTCACAGTGGTTTTTTTTGAGAATAAATGGGAAAATGCAACCAGTGACTGCACAGAGTGATTATTTGCTGGATTTATGCTTAGAAATTAAAATAATAAAATATCCACAGCAAGCAAATAAAAGAGCCAAACCACCCACAATGAACTCTGAAGTAAGCAAGAAAAAAACCTTATTTTATTCAGATAAAATAATCAGATTTTAGCTCTCGAGAGAACTGAGAATTCTTATCAGCTACATACACAGGTATATTTTTTTCCCAAAAATTTTATTGCACATTTTCAAACATTTATTTTACTTGATTCTCACCATAATTTAATGTAATTCTCATAATTCAGTCAAATATGTAAGCCTTGAGACAAGGAGATTTTTTTAGTATGTCTATTCATGATATGCCTATTTGTGGTTGCCGTATCAGTGTGTTTATACCATTTTTCAGGAAGGCCAAGTACTTTCTAAATATATTCCTAGTTAGAATACATTCCTAAGTATATTCCTACAGCAGACAATGAAACAAACCCAAATCCTTGACTTACTAATGCTACTGTAGGCTACACTCTCATCTTTAATGACCAGTGTGCTTGTTTTTCCCACAACAAAAGTTGTGGCTTCTTCTTTTGTAAAATGTTAATAAATAATCCTGTACCTAAGAGCCTCAGTATTTCAGTACAATCTAAATAGACTGCAACAAGAAAGCTTGCAAATGTACAGTCATTGTCATAGTGGAGTTTTCTGGCTGTTAGTAATCATTGCTTGTTTTGAAATTTTAAGCAACTTTGGAGAAGACCTCCTTTCAAGCTGTGAGCAGAACTTCTCCACTCTTGAGTATCACAGAAAATGAGTGATCTCATTAAGAGATTTTACTAAATTGCTGTCCTCATTTCTTTAGAAAGGGAGGAAAATGTGCTTTTCAGATCTTAATAGGTTGTGCATAGCTCTTCTGAATGAAAAAATGAGTGTGGGGCTAATGATAATCCTGAAAAGCAGATTTATCTATTTGTCTTTCTGTCAATGATTACCATGGCCTGGTAATTCCACGAAGCACTGATGCATGGAGAACTTGCCTTAGTGTGCTACGGTGGTGTAAGTAAAGAAGACTGCATTCTGCCCCTTGGGGTTTTTATCTCCTAGATAGTTTTGAGAGTCAAGAACATACATGGAAAGGTAAACAAAAACAAAAACCTGACATCTGGAACTGATTAAGACAAGCTTAATGTCAGTGACTATGACTGTATTGTTCTCCTCTCTTTCATCAGGAGCCCCAGAAACCTGTGAGAGCAGGCCTTCTTTTATTCAACAGCTATTTACTGAAGATCTACTATGTGCCAGACACTGTTTCAGGTATTTGTATAGAGTGATGAACAGAAAAGTCAAAGATCTCTGTGGCAGTGGCTAGTTGGAAACATGCAAAAGGGTTTTAGAGTTACATGGACCCAAAGCTTGAATTCTGGCTTGACTACTGGCTAGATTAATGAATCTTAACAGCTCTGAGTTGTAGCTTCTTCTTTTGTAAAATGTTAATAAATAATCCTATACTTATAAGTGAATTGTGAGCAAAAATACATGGGCAAAGTGCCTGACATATAGTAGGTATTCAATAAATACTTGCCTCCCTTCAATAAATGCTCCTAAATGATGTGCTAAATGATGTGTTAAGTGTGCTAAATGATGTGTTGATTATTTGGGTTTAGATCCCAGAGTAAGGCTGGAAAAACAGGGATTTGTGACTTTATTTTCACCTAAGGCCAGATTTTTTTTCTCATTTTATAGAGTCAACATAATTTTATTAATAGGGCTTAAATAAATCTGCTGGGATGCTAGTGACTGGCTAATTAAGGGACAGAGGAGGAACTACAGAAGCATCAAGCATCCAACAGTGGCAGAGTCCTGGCAGTTCCTAGAGTGGAGCAGGGGAAGGCGCGGACGGCTCTTGTTTCTTTGTAATAAGTTGAGTCCATCTACACTAAGAAATTTGCCTTGCAGTCAGATGCTAATATGAGGACATATGCTGTTTTATCTCATTAGCTAATAGTCTGTTTCTCTCCCTTTTGTAAAAGTGAGCAACTGTCCCTCTTCCACAATCACAAGTCCTTCTTCATGCTCTTGTTATTATTAGACCAATCCTATAATGCTTCCAACTTCAATTTGATCGTTTATAGTTTTAAGTTCATGCCTCTTATTTTTAAAGATAACTTTTGTTTTTTTCTTTCAGTACTTGAAGTCAATTATCACTAATTAGCACCACACTTAGCTTTCACTGTTATGCATAATTGGTTTTGTTTGAACACTGCTATATGCTGATTTGATTTTCTTTGGCCTTTAAAAAAAATCAATTATTGCATATTCCTGGGAAGCTTTTGAGAGTATTTTTCAGTTGCCCTTTGAAAGTTTTAATCCTGGTATTAACATAGACCTTTATGTTTTTATTGGACTACTTCTAAAAATTTAATAACCTGAGTAGTGACTATAATTCCAAATTATATATAAACTTCTCTTTATATATACAGAATTATATTGCCATGTATTACTTTTCTCAAAAAGAACTATACATTTCTATTTCCCATGATGTATTTGATTGATATATCAAATTATCAAACATCTATTTTCAGACTACAGACTGGTACTTAAGATGAGCATTTACTTTATGATCTTCATTATTAATGTGACTAAAATTTAAAGAAAGCTACTTATTTTTAACATATTTTTAATTTAAGCATTTCATGACATGCCATTTGAATTCCTTGACCATATAGTAAAATACATTACTGACCCAATCCTGAAATGAATTTGTTTTCATTTAAAAGCAATACATGCTATTAAAATGCACAAGTAAGTGAGTATGGGCAAGGACACAATAGCAGTAGAGTCCTGATACTTATTTGCCTCTTCATTTCAGGGCTAATCAAGTATAAATTTTAAAACTACATATGTCCAAAATTATATATGCTGCTACGTGTAACAATTAGCAAACAAATGGCATCATTTCTTTGCTCCAAAAATTTACATTCTGCTACTGAATATTCAAGTTGAACATCTGTACAAACCCAGGGAGCCTTACTCTATAAAGCCCCAATAAACAGCATAACGGAATTTTACTACAGACTCTGAGAGTTCTGTCATTTTAACATGATTAATTCTTTATCTGAAGGGAGATAGCATTTCCTGCAGCAAACAGCTTGGGGAAGGGCCTTTTTTTCTGTCCTTGTTGACATCTCACTGAAGATGGAGGGACCTCAGTCACGAGAATCCCATCTGTCAAGGTATGTCTACAGAAATCCTGCCAGCAGCCTGCAGGAAGGAGTGCAGAGTAGGTGGGGGGCAGGGAAAATGTCATGGGAAGGGCAAGTAACTTTCTTATTCTCTCAACAGTATTGTGAGCCTCTCCACAGAAAGCATTTTTATTTCATTGCTATAAAAACACCTCCTGGGAGAAGGAAAAAGTTCAGGTTGTGATCGGTTCTTCTCAACTTGGATTGAATTTTCAGTTTGTTATTAGGATAGCAAATTTATACACAATGTGTACAATACAAATCCCCATATCAACACTGAAGTCAAGGGCTTTACTCTTGCTAATTATGGTCTGCAAAGATTGACTTTTCACTGAATGACAAGGTCAAACTTTATTCTGCATAGTGATATGGTGCTGAACAATAATCTATGGACTCATGGAGATTAAGATTTCAATCCTAGCTCTGATGTTACTAAATCGTTTTGGTCAATTTACTTTAGATCCCCAGATCTGTTACTCTTTATAATAAAAAGTGGTAGTGATACTACTATGCTGAGTCATTCTGAGGATTGTTTGAGATGAAGACAATATAGTTTAGCACAGTGCTTGGTATTTAATAAATAAGTATTTAAAAATACACTTGTCTCACTTAATCAAGGAGAAGAACTAAAACTATTTTATAATATAAGTCAAGAGTCTCCTTGAAATTAAATTGTCCCATACTATGATGATCCAGGTATATTATAGAAAACAACTATAACCAATTAGTTTCTGGCTTTTATGTACTACTTGAAATTATATAAATGCAACTGAAAAGGAAAGGGTATTTGCCATTCTAGCCCCCCCATTGATTTTAATGTCCCATTATAACTCCAAAAACTTAATAATGGGAATCTTAAATTAAAAGTGTACTACATAATGTATATCTACATTAGCAAATATACCCATGACATCATGGTTAAAATAATGACAAAAGGAAAGGAGTGGATAAATAAGGCAGTTTATCAAATGATTAAAATTTGTAGGAAACATTGCATTAAAACTTTAAGTACTAAGTATACTGTCTATGATCTTTTTCCAGAAACTTTTTTCCTAATTTCAATAAAGTAAATAATTTGATGTTGCTATAATTATGTCTGCTATTATGTTAAGAGATAAACATGTACTATGCAGGTGTGTGGTGATCTCATTAATGAGATCATGCAGTTGGTCAACCATATGGTACAAAAGAAGTTAGTCCAAGCTAATCACAGAAGCACACTGGTTCAGTGACTATAAATCAGTTCAAGTCTGAAACTTGCCTGTTAAATTATCCACTTTACAGAGGACAAGACACAGCATTCAGGAAATATATAAGTGATCTCAGTACCTCTATTTTATATGTCCCTAATTTATATCTCATATTATATGAATATATAGCCAGATAGATGTATTGATTTTGGGCCAAAGTATTTAACCTATTGGTTATGGTTTTCTGAATGAATAAAATTGTACACTAATAATTCCACCACTAGCCTAGAATAGCACATCTGCACCCAAAGGTGGAATCAGTATTAGGCCATATCCAAAGATTTAGCATGTTGTCTACTTAGTTGAGAATATTTATTGACAGAGAGATACTACCTCACGAGACCATCAGCTCCTAGAGTGAACTATTCTGTATATTATAAAAGTCTTCCCCAGAGTTATTCTGGGGACAATGAAGCAGGGGCTAAAATACTGAAGGAATAAGACAAGCTTAATGTCAGTGACTATGACTGTATTGTTCTCCTCTCTTTCATCAGGAGCCCCAGAAACCTGTGAGAGCAGGCCTTCTTTTATTCAACAGCTATTTACTGAAGATCTACTATGTGCCAGACACTGTTTCAGGTATTTGTATAGAGTGATGAACAGAAAAGTCAAAGATCTCTGTGGCAGTGGCTAGTTGGAAACATGCAAAAGGGTTTTAGAGTTACATGGACCCAAAGCTTGAATTCTGGCTTGACTACTGGCTAGATTAATGAATCTTAACAGCTCTGAGTTGTAGCTTCTTCTTTTGTAAAATGTTAATAAATAATCCTATACTTATAAGTGAATTGTGAGCAAAAATACATGGGCAAAGTGCCTGACATATAGTAGGTATTCAATAAATACTTGCCTCCCTTCAATAAATGCTCCTAAATGATGTGCTAAATGATGTGTTAAGTGTGCTAAATGATGTGTTGATTATTTGGGTTTAGATCCCAGAGTAAGGCTGGAAAAACAGGGATTTGTGACTTTATTTTCACCTAAGGCCAGATTTTTTTTCTCATTTTATAGAGTCAACATAATTTTATTAATAGGGCTTAAATAAATCTGCTGGGATGCTAGTGACTGGCTAATTAAGGGACAGAGGAGGAACTACAGAAGCATCAAGCATCCAACAGTGGCAGAGTCCTGGCAGTTCCTAGAGTGGAGCAGGGGAAGGCGCGGACGGCTCTTGTTTCTTTGTAATAAGTTGAGTCCATCTACACTAAGAAATTTGCCTTGCAGTCAGATGCTAATATGAGGACATATGCTGTTTTATCTCATTAGCTAATAGTCTGTTTCTCTCCCTTTTGTAAAAGTGAGCAACTGTCCCTCTTCCACAATCACAAGTCCTTCTTCATGCTCTTGTTATTATTAGACCAATCCTATAATGCTTCCAACTTCAATTTGATCGTTTATAGTTTTAAGTTCATGCCTCTTATTTTTAAAGATAACTTTTGTTTTTTTCTTTCAGTACTTGAAGTCAATTATCACTAATTAGCACCACACTTAGCTTTCACTGTTATGCATAATTGGTTTTGTTTGAACACTGCTATATGCTGATTTGATTTTCTTTGGCCTTTAAAAAAAATCAATTATTGCATATTCCTGGGAAGCTTTTGAGAGTATTTTTCAGTTGCCCTTTGAAAGTTTTAATCCTGGTATTAACATAGACCTTTATGTTTTTATTGGACTACTTCTAAAAATTTAATAACCTGAGTAGTGACTATAATTCCAAATTATATATAAACTTCTCTTTATATATACAGAATTATATTGCCATGTATTACTTTTCTCAAAAAGAACTATACATTTCTATTTCCCATGATGTATTTGATTGATATATCAAATTATCAAACATCTATTTTCAGACTACAGACTGGTACTTAAGATGAGCATTTACTTTATGATCTTCATTATTAATGTGACTAAAATTTAAAGAAAGCTACTTATTTTTAACATATTTTTAATTTAAGCATTTCATGACATGCCATTTGAATTCCTTGACCATATAGTAAAATACATTACTGACCCAATCCTGAAATGAATTTGTTTTCATTTAAAAGCAATACATGCTATTAAAATGCACAAGTAAGTGAGTATGGGCAAGGACACAATAGCAGTAGAGTCCTGATACTTATTTGCCTCTTCATTTCAGGGCTAATCAAGTATAAATTTTAAAACTACATATGTCCAAAATTATATATGCTGCTACGTGTAACAATTAGCAAACAAATGGCATCATTTCTTTGCTCCAAAAATTTACATTCTGCTACTGAATATTCAAGTTGAACATCTGTACAAACCCAGGGAGCCTTACTCTATAAAGCCCCAATAAACAGCATAACGGAATTTTACTACAGACTCTGAGAGTTCTGTCATTTTAACATGATTAATTCTTTATCTGAAGGGAGATAGCATTTCCTGCAGCAAACAGCTTGGGGAAGGGCCTTTTTTTCTGTCCTTGTTGACATCTCACTGAAGATGGAGGGACCTCAGTCACGAGAATCCCATCTGTCAAGGTATGTCTACAGAAATCCTGCCAGCAGCCTGCAGGAAGGAGTGCAGAGTAGGTGGGGGGCAGGGAAAATGTCATGGGAAGGGCAAGTAACTTTCTTATTCTCTCAACAGTATTGTGAGCCTCTCCACAGAAAGCATTTTTATTTCATTGCTATAAAAACACCTCCTGGGAGAAGGAAAAAGTTCAGGTTGTGATCGGTTCTTCTCAACTTGGATTGAATTTTCAGTTTGTTATTAGGATAGCAAATTTATACACAATGTGTACAATACAAATCCCCATATCAACACTGAAGTCAAGGGCTTTACTCTTGCTAATTATGGTCTGCAAAGATTGACTTTTCACTGAATGACAAGGTCAAACTTTATTCTGCATAGTGATATGGTGCTGAACAATAATCTATGGACTCATGGAGATTAAGATTTCAATCCTAGCTCTGATGTTACTAAATCGTTTTGGTCAATTTACTTTAGATCCCCAGATCTGTTACTCTTTATAATAAAAAGTGGTAGTGATACTACTATGCTGAGTCATTCTGAGGATTGTTTGAGATGAAGACAATATAGTTTAGCACAGTGCTTGGTATTTAATAAATAAGTATTTAAAAATACACTTGTCTCACTTAATCAAGGAGAAGAACTAAAACTATTTTATAATATAAGTCAAGAGTCTCCTTGAAATTAAATTGTCCCATACTATGATGATCCAGGTATATTATAGAAAACAACTATAACCAATTAGTTTCTGGCTTTTATGTACTACTTGAAATTATATAAATGCAACTGAAAAGGAAAGGGTATTTGCCATTCTAGCCCCCCCATTGATTTTAATGTCCCATTATAACTCCAAAAACTTAATAATGGGAATCTTAAATTAAAAGTGTACTACATAATGTATATCTACATTAGCAAATATACCCATGACATCATGGTTAAAATAATGACAAAAGGAAAGGAGTGGATAAATAAGGCAGTTTATCAAATGATTAAAATTTGTAGGAAACATTGCATTAAAACTTTAAGTACTAAGTATACTGTCTATGATCTTTTTCCAGAAACTTTTTTCCTAATTTCAATAAAGTAAATAATTTGATGTTGCTATAATTATGTCTGCTATTATGTTAAGAGATAAACATGTACTATGCAGGTGTGTGGTGATCTCATTAATGAGATCATGCAGTTGGTCAACCATATGGTACAAAAGAAGTTAGTCCAAGCTAATCACAGAAGCACACTGGTTCAG